CGATTCTCTTGTCTCAGCCTCAAGAGTACCTGGGACTACAGGCACCTGCCACAATGCCTGGATATTTTTTTTATTGCAGTTTGGCCAGGGCCAGGTTCAAACCCATGACCCTAAGTATATGGGGCCAGCGCCATACCCACTGAGCCACAGGCACCGCCCTCTAAGAGCTATTCTTGATGCCCTTTCTTCCTTGCTCTTTATTAAATGCAAGTCAAGTAACCAATGTCTTCTCATATATGAAAGTGGTTTTCCACTTGCAAATGACTGCTGGATCAGAACAAAAGGGAAACATACAGAATCAGATCAGAACAAAAGGGAAACATACACAATCAAAATCAAAATGAACTTTTGTGATTAGGCTGATTTTATAAAAGCTTGAGACCCAGAAACAGCCCTCTCAAGTGTAAAATTATTAAGAAGGTTCAGAGGAAAGCAAAGGTTGTCATGAAGTGACCACTTGTAAAACAACTCTACATTCAAACAAGCTACTTTTTTTCCTCCTCTATAAAACAGGGATAATAAGAGTAGTTGTACCACTACCATGAGAAATGAATGAAATGACACAGGAAAAGTTCAAACCACTTAGTAATAAGTACTTATTAAGTGTTACAATTATTATTATATCCCAAGTAGATATGAGCAATTATTTCCACCTGTCCTAGAAACTTATTTATTGGTCAATTTCCTCATTCAAATGCTGTAGATATAATCTGAGAATACAACACAAATCAATTGTAAAATTAAAACTAATCTTACAAGGATACAGAATTTCATCATGTTAATGAAAGTGCTATTTTTAAAATGATGACATGCCACAAATTAACAACTGAAGTAGTAAAGACAATGAAAGGATGGGAACTCCAAAATTTAATGTGAATGCCCAGGTGGTGCTAACTTCATTTACCAATAGATCTCTCCAGAAATCCTATGACAGGGCATACTCGAACATTCACTTCTCCTGGCTTCATCTATTGGCAGGCAATATCCTTTCTTCTGACCTAGAGAATTTCTGCCCACCCTCCTTTAGAGTCTCAGTTCAAATGTTACTTTCTGTAGCCTTTCCCAAGCTCCTCAGGCAAAAGCATCTCTCCCTCTACAACTCCAAAGAACTCAGTTGACAGTGCTAGTAAAGCAATCCTCATACTACATGACAAGTTTCACAAGACTCCCACTAGACTCTTAAGTGCCCAGCACAGTCTATGACATTGGAGGCACACAATAATTTGATGAACTGAATTGGTTCCTAGAATTTTAGTACTGAAAAGGGCCAAAAAGCTAACACTTGTTGTCTTCAGATACTAAAGACTGAGTGATTTGCCCAAATCATAAAGACAATGGCTGTGAAAGGACTGATAACTCAAGTTTCCTTTCCCGATAATATATGAGGACAGGACAGCATGTCTGGCTCATTGCTTTGAAATTGGTTCACCCAGCAAAGAACTGAGGTGTGTGGTAGACTCTCAAGCGCTTTCCATTACAAAATACTGTAAAATGTCAATCTATAAACTCTTAAGAAACATGCAAATCCTAAAGTTAAATTTTGCACTGGTCAATTCCCAATTGTAAATATTGTGAGAAATCAGCAAAATGGCCTTGTATGGCAATAAATTACATGAAAGTAATGCACGTCTAACATTTAATCCTTTCAAACATTAACACATTTAAAGTGAACTCGGTTTCCATGCTATTCTACATAGAGTGGATAAGATAGTTAAAACGGACACACAGCATACCAACCAGCATTCAAAAACATTTATCCAGTACAGGGCATTTCAAGGGCTAATAAAGTGCAAGTGACAACTTGCCTCTGTGTGAACTAGAGACAAGGTTTCACGTTTTGAGGAAGCTGACAATCTGCTGTCATCGCAGAGAGGCCCTACGGAGAAGGACAACTTCCATCAAGTAAAATATTTGGATTTCAGAAGACAAGAGAACCAGGGCGTTCAACGAACACTCTAAAAAAGCAAGCAGTCTCCTTCCCTACGGCCAGGAGTAGTAGAAGACAGCACGAGTCCTTCCAGGAAATTCACAAAAGCAGGTCCCTAGAATTCGCCAACGTGTCCTAGAGCCGAAGGGGTTATGAGGCCGAGCCGTCGTGACCCCTCCAGCAGGGCGTGAGGCCTACCCCGCACAACTAAGCAGAGCTGGATAGCTTATCTCTGGGAGGATCCCGGCGCCCCCTCGGAGCCTCCGGCCTCACCGGCCGGACGCTCAAATCTAAGACTCGGTCTTCCCTCGTAGCGGGACGGCGGCCGATTCTAGTAGGGGCAGCCACAGGCCTTCGTGGACCCCCGGGGCCTACGGACCGAGCCACCCAGAGAGAGGCTGCTCCGTGTCAGACAAACGGCCGCGTCCAGGAGCCGCCGCCCACCCCCGCACGGATCGGCCTGCCTGAGGCCTTCCTCGGCCTGTTCCCCTCGCCCACAGGCCAAGCCGGACTGGGGTTAGCCTAGTCGGGCTGCGGGGCCTCTGCTCCGCTCGCGGAGCTCCAGGGCGGCAGGAGAGCAGGGGCCACAGAGAGGGTCGGCCCGGGGCCCGCCGCCCCCTCACCACTCACCATGGCGACTCCCCAGAGCCTGCAGCAAGCAGCACCCACCCCACCCGGAGCCGCCCGCGGTCATGTGACTCTAAGGCCCTTCCGAGCCCCGCCCTCTAGCCCCGCCCTCAGATTCACAGGCGGCTCCTCAATTGGCCTGCTTCTATGAACCCAAGTCTCGCGTGCTTATTGGCCCTTGACATTTCACGCTAGACGAACGGACCTGGGAATTAGCCAATCTCTCCACAATGTGTTAGAAAGGGCGGGGCGGGGCGGAGCAGTGGGGCGCGAAAGGCGTCAGGCGGGAGACAGCAGAAGGGGAAGGCGGTGTATCGTGACTTTGTCTTGACTAAAGGAGTAGAAAGACAGGGAGCCGCAGATTCACGTTTGCTTTATCCGCCTTGGAGAAGGCATTCGTGCTGCGCGTGCGCGAAAGAAAGACGAGGATTTGTTCCTAACACAGCCACAACATCCTCGTCCCAGCCAATCCTGAAGCGCTGGGGGTGGGGTCTGGTTCTCACAGGCCGGCGCGGAGCTTGAGCGCGGTATTCGTGTAGCCGCGGCTGTTCGCGCGAGTTGCTGACTTCCGCGCCATGGGGTCCGAGCTGATCGGGCGCCTGGCCCCGCGCCTAGGCCTCTCCGAGCCTGAAGTGCTGAGGTAAGTCCGGGCACGTGCGCCCCAGGCGGGGCTCCTGCCTCGCTAGTCTGGGCCTTCAAACGAGGCTCTCGCTGTTCTCGGGCGACTGGCTGCGCGGGAATCCGGTGAGCGCGGGCCCGGGCGGGATGCAAACGCTGAGGGCTTCTGCGCGACGTCGAGAAGGGGCGGCTGTGAGGTCAGCGGATCAGCCCGCTCCGTGGGAGAGGCACGAAGCCGGGGAACTTCCCGGCGGCCACAGACGCTAGCAGAGGCCCGCGGAGATCGCTGTCCATCCCTGCTGGACCTAACGTGCGGAGTAGACCGCAGGGTGACGAGCCCGGCGGCTGGTGCGGGCGGGGCGCAGCGGCTGCCGGTTCCAAAATGCAGAGGGGGCTCGGACTAGGCACCCTGGGCGCTGAGACACGACCAAACCGAGACGCGGGCGGTGGGAGGAGACTACAGCCCAAGCCATTGGGCGGGGGAGGCTGCTGAAGCTGTCGCGGGTGAAAGGCTAGGGGCAGGACCAGGCCAGCGGGCGGGGAGGGCGAGAAAAGAACCTCCCTAAGGACTGGCAGGCGGGCCTCCAGCGCTGGGTCATCCTTTGGGGTGATGATCCGGGGCGGCTGATGAGAGGCAGGGTGGGCCCAGCAGCCTGTGTTCACCAGCCCCCGAGGTGACTGTCCCAGAAGGGAACTTTGAGAGCCACTACTTCAAAGGAGGCGGCAGACGAGGGCTGGGGTAGAGAGGGGGAAGCCTCGTCTTACCTGGCTGCCCCCTGACAGTTCGTGCGTGTTCCGGTAAAGGAAGGAGGAAAGAAGGGACTTGTTATTTTTTTGTCGGAACTCTAATTTTCTTTTGGCTGCAAACACTTGGGCACCGCGATGTTTGTAGTCAGGGTGCTAGTTCTGCCTTTCGGAGCTTCCGGTCCACGAAGAAATGTGAGCTGCGTCCCCTAGCACAGCTGTGCACAGGCGCAGTGTGAAGCCCACCAGGCCTGTTCATTGTTTGCCAAAGTGCTGGGCAAACTTCTGATTCAGAGTTAGGGAGCACTCTGCCCTTTAAACTAGGAAAGCGGAGGAGTACTTGCGACTGTCCCAGGTGAAGTGTGCTGGCCTGTCTGCGCTCACCACGGAGACCAGCAGTGCGGTCATGTGCCTGGACCTTGCAGCTTCCTGCATGAAGTGTCCCTTGGACAGGGTAAGTAGGTCTGTCTCTGAACCATTCCATTTAAAGTCTTGGTTGAACCAGACCCCAGTCAAAACTCTTGTTTCAGAATTTTCCTGGCTATTTTCATACGTTATTCTGGATAGACTTTAGAATCATTTTGTTGAGTTGGGGAAATAAAGGTTTTTGGGTTTTTTTGTTTTGTGTTTTATTTTTTTGAAGTTTTTGGCCCGGGCCAGGTTTGAACCCACCACCTCTGGTATATGGGGCCAGCGCCCTACTCCTTTGAGCCACAGGCAACTCCTGGAAGAGAAGGGTTTTTTGCAATATTGCCTTTACTTTTCACTGTCTGGTTTCCCTGACCACCTCTTTTTTTACTAGAGTTCGTGTTCCATGCTGCTGCTAACGTCATCCTCAAGTGCATACCTGAAAAGCTATGTGTGGTTTTCTCCTCTTGTGGTGATTGAGAGAGCAAGCTTTGGAATCAGTAAGAGTCACATGTCGAGGCTTGCAGCCTGTAGCTCAGTGCGTAGGCGCTAGTCACATACACCGAGGCTGGCCGGTTCGATCCCAGCCCAGGCCTGCTAAACTTTAGCAATGACAACTACAACCAAAATAAAATAGCCAGGCATTGTGGCGGGTATCTGCAGTCCCAGCTACTTGGGAGGCTGAGGCAAGAGAATCACTTAAGCCTAAGAGTTGGAGGTTGCTGTGAACGGTGATGCCATGGCCCTCTACTGAGGGGGACACAGTGAGACTGTCTCAAAAAAAAAAAAAAAGTCACATGTTGAGATCAAATCTGAACACCATTTACTAGTCCAAATCTCCAGTTTCCTCATCTGTAAACTGGGGATAAAAATACCCATTTCACTGAATGATTATGAAGATCAATCAATATATTGTATGTAACATACTTAACACAGTACCTATGACATAACCTATGTCAATAACAACATGTTCGTTAAATGATAGTACTAACAATAAAGCTGTGTTAGCTATCCATTATTATCAAACTCTCCAGCCTATCTTGAAACCTGACCTCAAACTACAGAATTCACTTAACAGACTGTGCACTTTTTTATAATAACCAAGTTGAGAACACTCAGATGGGCATCTACAATGCAACCCCAAAAAGATTTGCACTTCCTTGTCCTTCTAGTTCTCCTTGGTCTATAACAAGAATGCCCCTTACTCAGCAGCAGACAGACCCGGCCATGGGTCAAGACATCCTGCTTCATGGGGAAACCTTGCTTGGCATTTCCACCACTGATTCAGACCACATAACCTTTCCATTCTTCACCCAGCATGTTAGCAGCAGCAACTTTGTGGCCGTGCACTTCTCATAGAAAGTACGAAAGTTTGAGTTTGAGTTCATTGTCCACTTCAATGAGTTTCTCGCAGCTGGTGGCAGGGAAGGAGATAATCAGCTTCATCCTGAAGTATCTGCTGATTAGTATTTTTGACCAAATGAAGCTAAATCTTTAGATGGAGTGACTTGCCACAGAATTGATTAATTTTGAAAACTTGATACCACTTATTAAACAAGTGTTTAAGGATACCAACATATAAATAAGAACTTAATAATTTTTATGATCTATGTATGTGTTTCATTTCAAAGGCTTATTTAATTAAACTTTCTGGTTTGAACAAGAAGACTTATCAGAGCTGTCTTAAATCTTTTGAGTGTTTACTGGGCCTGGATTCAAATATTGGAATAAGAGACCTAGCTGTACAGTTTAGCTGTACAGAAGCAGTGAACATCGCTTCAAAGTTGCTACAAAGGTATGGGGCATAAAGAACCTTAACTGAAAATTTATATCGATAAATAGAGCAAAATTGTTTGGTAATTTTCAGTCCTTTTTTTTTCTTTCTTTTTTTTTTGAGAAAGAATCTCACTTTGTCACCCTTGGTAGAGAGCCATAGTGTCATAGCAACCTCAAACTCTTGGGCTCAAGTGATCCTCTTGCCTCAACCTCCCAAGTAGTTGGGACTACAGGTGTCCACCACAAAGCCCAGCTATTTTTTGGAGACAGGGTCTCACTCTGGCTCAGGCTGGTCTCAAACCTAAGAGCTCAGGCAATCCACCCACCTTGGCCTCCCAAGTACTTGGATTACAGGTGTGAGCCACCATGCCTGGCCCAATTTTCAGTCTTAAAAAAATAATAATTACTAATATGCCAAAGTGATAGAGCATATATGAGTTTTAAAAACTTGTAAGTTCATGGCTCAGTGCCCATATCTCAGTGGTTATGTCTCCAGCCACATACACAAAGGCTGGCAGGTTTGACCCCAGCCCGGGCCAGCTAAACAATAATGACAACTACAACAAAAAATAGCTGGGTGTTATGGTAGGTGCCTATAGTCCCAGCTACTTGGGAGGCTGAGGCAAGAGAGTCACTTAAGCCCAAGGGTTTGAGGTTGCTGTGAGCTGTGACGCCATGGCACTCTACCAAGGGCGACATAGTGAGACTCTGTCTCAAAAAAATAAAATAAAATAAAAACTTGTAAGTTCTGATTTACATTTTCATGCCCTTTTAAGATATTTTCTGACAAATAATTCTGCAAATACTGTTTGCCCCTTAGCTATGAGTCCAGTCTTCCCAAGACACAGCAAGTAGATCTTGACTTATCCAGGCCACTTTTCACCACTGCTGCACTACTTTCAGCATGCAAGTAAGTGTTATTAATATTCAGAAAAGCCTCCAGTTTACAAGTACATTCATTATTCTCAAAGAATACTTCTAATTTAGTTGATTTCAATTCAGAGCATATTTTCTCCGGTAAATAACATTGGGAATAGAGGCTAAATTGCCCATTTATCCCATAATATAACTGGCAACTTGAAACTAGTATTACCAGAAATCCGTTTGCCAAGGCATAAGCTGGATTTTTCGATTCAGAGTTTCTCTCATGTAAGTGGTGAAATCTGTCCTTGAAATAGTGTTCACCTGTGATTTCCTGGTCTTTTTTCTTTTTTCTTTCTTTCTTTTTTTTTTTTAAGCGACAAGAGTCTCACTTTGTTGCCCTTAGTAGAGTGGCATGGCATCATAGCTCCACAGCTCACAGCAACTTCCAGCTCTTGGGCTTAGGCAATTCTCTTGCCTCAGCCTCCTGAGTAGCTGGGACTACAGG